TGGGGTAAGATTGGCAAATACAGAGTGTGAATTAATAGCAATTTCGATTAAATTGAAGTGTATTTAAGAAAGTAAAAAAAATGAAATTAAATTTTAGATATCTTACGGTAGGTAATACAATTCAAATAGTACAAATCAAAAGCGAAAATTTGCTTTATTTTGATTCTAACATTGAGTATCATTGTTTATTTGAAAATTCTGTTTAAATTTTATATAAAACTATTTGATTTGTATTCTCAGGACATGGAGACGTGCTTCCATCAGGACTACATATTGGATGTGTTGAATTACTGAATTCCGTCGTGAAACGTATCCGGCCAAAATATCACGTTTTTGCACATATTCACGCAGGTGTGTAGCATTTTAATGTCGCCATATAAATCAGCCAGTTTGTTAAATTCATAAAATTAACTTTGCTATTTAATTTGTCAGAAATTTTAGCTAGCAGCAATTTTCAAGTACGCAGTTACATTTGCATAAACTTGTGCTATCATTAAAAACTTTGCACTAAAAAATTTCTATTCTTTTGATAAATAATTTTACATGACTATAAACTATCGTATCCGTTCTTTGTTCATTGCTTCGTTGCTTCATTGCTTATTTACACTTGAATGGCTTATTTGATGATTTTACTTGATTTTTTTTGTTCATAATGACTGAAAGCATAAAATATTTTTTTAATTAGATAGAAACTGAGATTGAATTTGATTCTGATCAAAATTAGATTAAGTTAAAATTAGCAACCAATTAAATACTCAAACTATGAAAAAAAAATTTCACGAATTCAAAAATGATTCATATCAGTAGCGTAATCACATTTTCGAGAAAGCACTAAATTTGAAAATTCTAGGCTATGGTTGCACCACCGATGGCTATACTAAATTTATCAATTGTTCATTGGTAGATGATCGATTACAACCAGTAAATAATCCCATCATTTTCGATCTACCTATAGCAGTAGATGTTAAAGAATACTGGCTGCAACATTATCGTCAAAGTGTTGTGTGATGTTATAAATGATATTGATTACTGTAGTGATAATAATGGTAAATAGTAGTGTCAGTGATGCTCTAATGTGATAAATTTATTTAATGTGTCTCATAACTACTTTGATTTCTATTCAAATTAAAATTGTATTATTAATAAGAAATGGCGCCAAGAATTAACTGTTTACAATAGCGAATGAATTAAATTATTTTTACAACAAAAATTTTTCTTGACTGCAATAAAATATATCGAAATGACGTTAATTAATTAATTAATTAATTAACTAAATAGTTAGTTAACGAGACCAATTAGTCATCCACGATTTACCAGATCTTTTTGGTGCTGACAGTGTAGCAAATGATCCGTCACTCTCTTCCTCTTCCTCTTCCTCATCGTCATCTTCATCTGCCACATATTTAGGCAACAATGGCTGTGGCAAATCATTGAAATTATTGTTACTGCAAAAATCCATTGTTAAATCTGATTACTTATTCTCATCAGATGATTATTAAACAAAATTAGACGATATTCATTGTTTAGGAATCATGCAAATGCATACATATATGTATTTTTAATACTTGAAATTTATGAGAAGTCTATTATTTCAAACCGTTTTCTACTTGTTCTTTTTTGATCTTCTTCATAGTTATCTTCAGAAATCAATTCATCAGAATCAAACTCATCGTTGATTGAATGATAATTTCCATCATATCTTGCTGCAAAAAATAAAAATTTATTTCCACCTGTACTGAATTTGAAATATTAATCTGCTGCTAAAGCTTGCATTCTGAATATCATTCCTATAAAATAACGGTTAAAGTCATGAAGCGCTATTGAAAGATTATATGCAATTTGCAAATTTTATTTTTCTAAAATTGTTTTTAGAAAATGAAAATTTCTGCAGTTATAACAGTGATTGGAAGAACAATTAATCCTTGCATGGGCAAAATTTTTTCTTTTCCTAATGTACAGTTGTTAAATAGAATTACTGCTAAAATTTGAATATGTTACAAATAAATTCATCAAAAACATGCGAGAATTTTTTCTTGAGTACTGATAAGAATCGTCATTGTCTTCATCAGAATCGTCTTCTTCTTCAAGTTCATCTTTTTCTAATTTCGAATTATATTTCCTTCTTTTTTTAGATTTTTTAGTAGTAGCTATGAGATTCTGAAATGCTGGCGGCAAAGTAAGTGTTGGAAATGTTGGCAAAGTTATCCCTAGTGTGCTTTTTGTAGTGCTTGTCGTTGTTGGCGCAGTAGATGATAGTTGTTCAGTAACTGGATTAGGCTGAGTGACTGGGGAAGCCGAAGAAACCGATATCATTGGTATTGGTACAGGATATGGAACGTGAAATGGTAATACTGATATTTCCGGTGAAAATGGTTGCATGTAAGTTGAATACTGTGGCATCATTTGAGATACCAAAGAAGATCCTAAATAATCAGACATGTATTGGTTATTTCGAAGTGCTGCCAGAGCAGGTCCTATATAATTAGGCACTAATTGGTTGTTCTGACTATGTTGAAGTAGTACCATGTCAGGAAAAAGACTGTGTGATTTTTCTGGTACTAATCTATAGCGGTTTTTTGAGGAACTATCCAATATACTTTCAGTATTATCAAGTAACAATTGTGTATCGTGCAAGGTTGTGAATGGTTTTTTCAAAGTTTTGATTATTTTGACTGGTTTTCTTCGAACATGCGATTCCTTCCGTAATTTAAAACCACGTGCATGTGGAAGAATAATTCCAGTATTCCCCATTATTTGCTTGCTTTTTGTCTGCTTAGAAGGTAGTATTACTTCACCAGTTCGTAATTTTCGAGCTCTTGGCAAATTCGTTCTTGTTGTAGGAAGCCTGGCATATTAATGGCTGCTAATTGACACATTATTTAAAAGTAAAAGTTTGGAAAAAAATAAATGGTCTTATTAAATTTCATAAAGAAAAAAATAGTAATTCTTTTTAATTAAAATCTTTTATAAATTAATCACAAAACTTATGAAAATTACAAACCAATGATCATTTGTTGGCCTCATTAAACGGACGTGACTTAATTTCGGCTGTAACAAATTATTTTAGCAATAAATATAAAATAGACTGCCAAAATTTCTTAATTATAACTTTTGAATAGATGATTAAAATAATCATTTACCTTATAAGAATAAAACTGTTGTTCGGTTAGTGTGAATGCTGAAATTCATTTCCTATCAATTGATATGATTTTGATTGATATAATTTCTTACACAGGTTAGATTATATGCTGCCATTTTGAAAGAAAAAAAAGTTTCTTGCATCTTTACCATACCACGAATGCTATTTTATTTTAAATACTAAACTTTTAAATGCATAAATATTAGTGAAAAAATGAAGCATAACATACTTATTGTTGAAATGAGCACTGAAAAAAGCAACATAATGGTAAAGTTTCAGATTTAAATGGAAATTATATCATGACCTATTTGTAAATTTACACTGTTGATTGATGATCTGTTGATCCTATCAGCAACAACATTTTGTAAACCTCTCTTATTCCAATCTCATCCACGGAAATATATTATCATCCATTAAAGTTTGAACCATTAATAATTTCAACTTTATGCATATATATAAAGAAATTTAAATAAAATCAACCAGCTTTTGGTATTTTTTCACAAATTTTTCTAGTAAGCAATCAACTTATATTCTTTAAGATTCAAGAATTTTACTTTGGGACACTTTTGAGTTGGATTGATGCAGTACTGTAGCGACGAAAATTATTACTCTGTTGTGTGATATTTTGAGTTTGCATTGATTATCAGAAATATACTTGATTATCATATCATCTTTATAACCGTGTTTATTCATGCTTGAGTACAAAAATTGGAAACAGTAGATCAAGAAAGTTACAAAATCATACGATCACAGAATGATTTGGTTGCATTAGATACAATAATTATTTTGCATTTAAAATCTTTAACGAAAATAATCAACAATTTTCATAGTGAATTCGTAATAAAATAGGTGTGATAATCTTTTGTTAAAATTGATTTTGGCACGAAAAAATCTGATAATTTCAATAAAAGTGCTTGTTCAAAGCTTATACGAAATATCAAAATTATCCAGAAGTTACAACAACTCATTTCTGTAACATATTTGAAAATTACAAACTTTCTTATCATAATATTAAGATTTAGGAATTACTTTTTTATGATTGACCTTCAGGCATGTAAAATGCAATCTGAGCAAGTTTTGATGAACAATTCTTGCTTTACTTGACCTCTACAGCAGTAGTTCTCAAATGTTCTTCATTTTTTTATAAATAAATAATGCTAACTAAAAATCATATCAATGGTTATAATGATTTTTTTTTTGATCTATTAATTAATGCCATATCGTTTTCTTATTACTTATATCATTTGCCTACTTAAAAAGATGGCATGAACTTTTATCTTATAACTATATTTTTGAAAAAAGAAAAGATAATTACGGTGAATAAACTGTAATGATAATCATCCCTTCTGCATTTTTTTCATAATTGTTCTGGTTAGTTTCCTTCAATTTTATTTTTACATTCAATATGTTACTATCAGAAACTTTGTGGATTAAATTAATCAGTAACAGGAATTTGTAACAGTTATACCAAATATATTTGGTTCTTCTATTGCTCACTTGAAAGAATTATTGTTCTCAATACAATAGAATCAAATGATCAATTTCTATTAATAGTTAAATTTAAAATGTTCCACACAACTACGATACCAATTTAAATGCAACTATCATTGGTTATACTTACCATTTTATTTTCTTTTTTGCCTTTTTAGTGAACTGAGCATTAATTCTTTTTGGAAAGTTTGCCATGCAAACTTTTATTACTTTATTATTATTATTTTTTGTCAAAATTTCATTTTTGAAGTCGCAATCTTCGAAATGAATCTACCGGTGGTCCAACACAAAGACACGTTCGCCTGCAGAATAAAAACATTGTTGGCCGATGAGTGTTGCAAAGGCCTCCTCTAGCCCAATCTTCGCAAAGTCTGCCTTTGTCATCAACCTCTAACTCGCAATTAATTACGAATGGTCGCCCTAAATTTTTGATTATATTCAGAATTCATTTCAAAGAAAATTGCTTGCATTTTTAGTTAGTTGTGATCTTTTCAGTAATTATGAATAAAGTAAGAGTCATGCACGCATGGTCAATTAGTTGGGTTACATATAATTTAATAACTGAGGAAAGCGTAAAAAAATTGGATGAGCAAAAAAAAGGAGTCTTAAAATTTTTAATTTTTATTACCAGCTAAATTTTTTGAATTAAGTTTTTTTCTATAGATTTAACGATTAGTTGAAATTGATTACAGATTGAAATTCATAACTAATTTCTATCGCAAAAAAAAGTGTTAGATGGCATTGTGTTGAGAACATTTAAAAAAAATTGTTGCATTAATTTTCAGAAATTGATAAGTTATAGCAATAATAAATTACAATATTTCCCTTAGAATGTTTGGTCTAAGAATATAAATAAAATATTAATCAAAAAACTTACATTTCCGTCTTGTTGAATCGTCAATTTTCTGCAGCGGCAATTTGGAAAGTACTAAAATTAATTCTTGATTGTTGATGGAATTGAATATGGTTTGGGATATAAATACTTCAAAAATAAGATTTGAAACTTTATATACTTCTGAATTAAGTTCTGATAGTAATATGTCATTTGAAGAAATTTAAAAAACCTTTTCTTTCTCGTTGTAATGCTTGCATATTTATGTAGTTTCTTTCTGAAATATCATTGCAATAACTTATCAATGTTTGCCCTTGTAATAATCATAAGTTAAAATTGTTTAAGTTCAATATTTACCCGTAAACAAATCAATAAAATTCAAAAAATACTTTTTCAAAATTACATTTAAATTAAATAATTATAAAATTTATTCCAATTTCAATGATATATTTGAATTTTGTCGCATAAGATGCACATAAAGCCTCTCGTTAATGCTATCAGCACAGTTTGAAATATTGTATATTCAGATATGTTTTTAGCAAAAATGCAAAGTATTCAGAAAACTTTTCAAAAGATTGAACTTTGGGTAACATAACAAGTTTAAAACTAAAAAATATACTGAAATTGATATTTAAAATAATGAATATTATAATATACAATCAGAGTGTTAATAAAATAAAATTAATGCAATAATTTTGACAATACCTTTATCGGATAATGTCAAAGTAGCAAAAAGAAGTTTCGCTAGAAGTGAGCAATCAAAAATAACCTCGCACAAATGAGCTTGGACGGGAGAGTATTGTTGCACTGTCACCGTATCCTAAATCTTCTGGAGACATTGGAATTTTGGCGTGAATATTTTCTTCACCTGAGATGATATCAGATGTGGTGCCATCTCCTAATGTACTCCATAGTCTCTCAGTATCGACAAATGATGTGCTTGGTGTAAATGAAGGAAATGTTTTACTGGAGATTTTTTCACTCTTTTTTACGTCACTTTCCAAAGATTTGCTGCTGAATTTCAGCTCAGAAGTTGTAGCTTCTGGCTGTACAGTGTGTCCGGTTTTCGTTGTTGGTGATTCTGAAGTTGTGATCAGATTACTATTGTCGATAGCTGATATTGAAAATTCCGGTCCTGTTGTAACAAAGGATTGCATGTTATAAGATGCGAATGTGGCAACTTTTGTCTCTTTGTTATCACCATAACCAAAATCTTCAGGGCCCATGGGTATTTTAACTTCAGAATTTATAGAATTCTTGCTGACAACAGCTGTAGAATCTGTAGTTTCAGCAAATACTACAGTTGATATATCGTTAATAGATGTTTTAGTGGGCGGTCTTCTCCCAGAACTTTCAGATGAAGCTGAGCTATTCACATTAAAGGATAATAAATCTTCTTTTGTATTCCAGCTAGAATCAAAATTTGTCGTCGTCTCAACATCTGATTCTGGTCTGAAACTTTCTTCATTAACAGCCTCTTCCTCAGGTCTTTTTGTTGTTAGCACCTGTGTAGAAGATATTTTACTAGTTAGTACAGCTGGCCCGATTTTCACTAGCTTCAAATTTTGTTGCACTCTAGGTGCTGATTCGCTAATTTTCTCCATTTCGTTTACATTTTCAATACTTGTCCTCATGTGGATTGATGAAATTCCGTCAGAATATGATATTTGCTGAGGTGATGATGGTAGAATTCCTGCTTGTGCTATTATATTGTTCGTTTCTAAAGTTTCTTGGTTTCTATCATTAGAAGAGTCGTTAAAATTTACAGTAAACGATTCTGGCACTACTTGAATAGGAACAGATGGTGTTCTATATTGAATAAATGTTGTTACAGATTCAGGCAATGAATCCGTTTCAGCTGTAACAGATGATAATGTTGCGTTATCTGATTCTATTTCTTTGTCCTCTGTTTTGTTGTTTGGCACAGTTTGCATTTGTTGAGGCTTCTGAATGAGCTTAGTAGTCAAAAGACTGACATTACTAGCAAAGTTTTGAGAAGCAGTGCTGAATTCCGTTTGAGTTATTGCTGCTTCTGTAGCTGTTGCACTTTCTACTTGCACGTTTGATTCTTTCCAACTACCACTGCTTGACCTTATCATTGATTCTGAATCTGTACTGTTTTGGCCTAAATCTGTTAAATTAGTACTTATCTTATTTCCTATGTCTACTGTCATATCAGTTTGCCAAGCTGTTGTTTCTGGCAGTTCTGTGCTGTTTATAGTACTTTCCTGAGATTCTTCAATTTTTTCCAAGAATGTAGATAGTGTAGAAGTTTCAGTATTGATATGAGTAGCAAGAGTTGAATTTTGATTCAAAAAGACGCTGGCTGTTTCTGAAGTACTTTTTGGATACTTCGTACTTTCATAAAAATTATCTGTAATATTGTACTCTACAGTGCTCTCAATTTCTTTGCCACTAACTACTGTCATAGGATTTGTCCACTGCGCAGTCAATTCTGTTGCAACGTCTTCTTCTCTTGTCAACGTTGATAGGCCTTCTTGCGTAGATTCTGTCTGTTTGTTCACTTTTTTCAACGCTTCAGTTACTTGAGGATTTGTTTCTTTTTCAGTTCTGTCTCTCGATAACACTTGTAGTTCCTCCATGAAGTCTGTTGGTTTTGAACCAGGTCTTGATGCTATAGCACTCATAGAAATCTGGTTTGGTTCTTCACCATATCCAACACTGTCTGGTCTAGTTAGTTCACTCTTTGTTTCAGTTTCAAGTGTAGAAGCAAACTGACTGCTTGACACGGATTTTTCAGTACTTGTTTTAAATCCTGAATCTTGAACACTTGATTGTAGCAAATTTGTAGTAAACTCTGAAAATGTTTCATTCTCTACGGCAAATCCTCTCGACATTTCTTCTGGTGAAGATGCCTTTATTTCCAATAGCTCAACTGCACTTACGTTTGTATTTGTGACTTCACTTGCCTTCTGTACTGTTGAGTGACTAGAATTTAATGTGTTTTCTGGTACTTGACTAATAGTTTCTGAATTGCTAAAATTTTCTTGTACAGGTTGTCGTGTTGATTCTTCATTTATTATTTCTTTTGAAGCAAATTCAGCAGTAACTGGTGTTATTTCTATCATTGACTGCAATGTTGATAACGTCTGATTGTAACTGGAAGGCAAGACTGAAAACTGTTTCACAGGTGTTCCTCTATGAGTTTCTGTCTGATCTGTTTCTTCACTTTTTTTAACATCAAAGATTTTAGCACCTAATTTTTGCCTACCGGATTCTGGAAATATCTTCGTAGTTCCGGTTACAAATATTGTTGCATTACTGTGTAAAGATGAATCTGTTTCTTGTAAATTAGATGTTGCGGTTTCTTCTAGTTTTATGGATTCTGTACTTCCTGTGCTAAAAGGAGAGTCTGTCATCATATATTGTGATGCCCTTGCTGTTTCATCAGAACCTGAAATTTCAGACATTTCCCGGTACCGTTCGCCACCTCCAGTAGATGTCTCTATACTGGGTATTTTCCAATTTAAGCTTTCCTTGCCAACATCTGATTTCCAAATTACTTCTACTGACTGAGGTGATAATCTGCTTTCTGATTCTATTGAACCTTTATTAAATACTGCAACTGGTTTAGTTGTTAGCGTTGAATCTTTACTGGATATCATGATCTTTTCAGTAGAATCTGATTTCCTAAACTCATAAGAAGATAAAGGTATTTGTGTAATTTTCGTTTCGCTGCTTGCATCATACAACTCTGTAATTTTTCCGTTTTCATCAGTAGTTTGTCTAAAATTCGTCGGTTCTGTACTTTGGAATTCTGGTAGCAGTCCTTTGCCTTGTTTATCAGAAGTCAAAGCTGATTCTCTCAATTGTTCTTTAGATTCTGAAGGCTGTGTAAGCACTGTGGATTGTATTGACAATACATTAATCTTTTGCATTTTTGCCTCAGCGTTTTCCTCCTTTGTCTCTGTTTCTTCATTTTTAAGTGTTTGGGAAGTAGATTCTGCCTGAGGAATTAACGTATCCGTTGTCGTTTCATTGATGAATTCATTAGAGACTTCATAATTAGTGGTAGGTTTCGCTGATTGAGTTGTTGAGATGGAAAATGCGTCAGAAATATTACCTTCAGTAATATTGTAATATAATGAACTTTCTGTTGATGATATCGTAACATTTTGTTTTTCTGTTATTACTGGTTGCTGCCATGACGAGGAGGATTTACCCATGCTAGCTGTTGTTTGTAATCCTTGTTGTGAAGTTTTGATGCTAGTCATGTTTTCCAAATCGTATGATTTGTCTTCCGATTTTGCTTCGTTCACATTTGTTTCTTCTAAATGCAAACCGGCTTCAGTACTTGTAAAATGTTTGACAGTCCCTTGCTGCTCTAAAGCAGTTGATTTTTCTTGAATTGCATCTTCATGTCTGCTAAGTACATTAGCGTTACCTTGTCCTGCAGACCATGTTTCAGATGCATTAAATGTTTCCGATGAAGATGCAACACCATCGGAATCATTTCTTTCTTGTCCTTTAAAAGTAGTGGAAACTGTTCCATAACCGAACTTTTCTATATCTGACTGTAATGTTGGTGGCTCTTGAGAACCATTCAAAATACCATTATATGAAAAGGATTTTGTTACTGAGATTATTTTTTTTGATTCAAACGTTGTGGCTTCAGTTTGTGTTTTTAGTACTCCAACCAATCGTGCTGTTGCATCTGCTTCATCCTCTATTAATTCTTTTTTATTTCCTCCGCGTTCTAGTAGTTCATTCGATTCAGTAGTTTCTTTATTTTCTTCATTTAATGTCTTCCTGGTATTCTGACCACTTTTAGAATGCGTGATATTGGTATTATGGAAATCAGTAATACTTACATGTCGAATATTTTCAGTAGATTTTTCAAGAGGTCTTTCAGAGCTTTCTGCAAAAATTTCACTTTGTTCAGGTCTTTCTTGTTGATTCCATTCACTTGAAGTCTTCTTCGCCTTTGTTGCAGTAAAAGTTCTGTTTGTTGATGTGCTCAGCTCGCTAAGTGCTATTGTAGCGAATTCGCTTGATTCTTTAGCTATCTCATGTTCATTACTTGATGTACTTTTCTGATTATGGTTTGTATCGTAAAACGGTTCACTTTCTAGTTTTTGAGCGGTAGTCAACTTGTCACTTTCTACTTGCACAGAAGGAAAACTACCGTAAGCATTTTCATTGCCTGACATAAATGTTTCTTCAGCATCTGCAATCATCCCTTGATGGACTACTGTTGCTTCTGCTTCTTCTACTGGCGGTCCATAACCACTCTCTGATA